TTTCCCTTCCTGTGGGAAGTGGGTGTCTTAGTCCCCTCTGAAAGGGGACAAAGTTAACTCCCAGTTGGCTGCCTTGGTATAATATGAACATGAAAAAGCTGGTCAGCAGTGTTATTTCCTTTGTGTATCCCAGCTGCCCAGCCTGTAGCTTGTAAGAAAGAGGTTGAAGGGTCGTTAAGAGAGCATTAGCAGTGTAGCTAGCAGATAGCAGGCAGACGGTTGCCCTCATCCCAACACCTGCGTCCGTCCCAGCTCCTTCATTTGCTCTGCCTGGATGAGAGGCAGCATGTGCTGTTTGGCTGGGAGAGCTGGGTCGTTGGGACGGGAGGTCTGTAGGAAAACGTGAGCTTCCTGGCTGACCAAAAAGTACTCCAACTGGCCTGTAGACAATGAACTGCCTCATCATGCACGAGGGTTTTTGCTAGCCAAGCAGTGTCTCTACTGAGCTCTGCAGGTTGCATGAGCCTGGTCTGATACAACAGTTTTCTGTCCCCTGTGTCCTCTGTCCCTGGCCAGCAGAGGTTGTCATCTGTGGGGAAATGACTGTACACAGCCAAGGGCTGTCGGTGAGCTGCTTGACCCGTGCTACACGTTGTTTCCAAGGTTTAAGTTTGCATCTGTTCAATTTTGTGCCCTCTACTCTTACTGCAGTAAAAGAGAAGCTACGCTTGGATCCAGACAGTGAAATTGCCACTACAGGTGTTCGCGTCTCTCTTATCTGCCCGGTAAGTCTCTGCAATGTATTTTAGTCTGTTTTTGTCAAGAAACCCTATTCTTCTGTCAGACCAGCTTTGCAAGCTAACGAACGTTTTTGCTTAGGAGGAGCACTATCTGGTGATAGCTTGGGTGGGTTTTATTGCTGATCTTCTGCTCTTTGGCTCAACAGCTAGTGAAGATGCGGCTGTCTGTCCCGTGCCGGGCGGAGACCTGCGCACATCTGCAGTGCTTTGATGCAGTCTTCTACCTACAGATGAATGAGAAAAAGCCCACATGGATGTGCCCTGTGTGTGACAAACCAGCACCCTATGACCAGCTAATAATTGATGGGTGAGTACATACACTTCTCTGTCCTCAACCCCTTTCTTTTCCTCCGCTGGGTGCGGCGTCTTGTCTCTTGGTCTGTGCATCTGATTGAAGTTCACCTTGAAACAAAGTTGGAAGCTTATCCTGCTCGTGCATAATGATCTGACTTAATTGTCTTGGTGTGTTAGAGCGAGACTTGACTGTTGTCTGCCATTCTTAATATTTGGATTACACTAAAGTGTTCTGAGAATCAAACATTTACTGCCTCACTCTTTTCGTCAGGCTGAATAACCCACACAGCTAGCCGCCTTGGTTCACAGATATCATGCTGCATGGAATAAACCACTTTATAAGCACTCAATAAGATGATTTTTTCATAGGAAATATCTGCCTGTTTTCTTGTCAGTGTGAGGTGCTCATCAGCTCACAAGCAATTCTTAGCATGTTGTAACTTTGATTGGGGGATCTTCTCTGCCAGCTCTTAAACAGAACATCCTGCCCTCAAGATAGAGGTACAAATGCAGTATTTGGAAAGATTTTTGTACAGTCTGTGTAGTACAATTTCTGTAGCTGTTGTGCATATCTCAGTGGCAGGGATGGAAGGATGCCTCGATAGGAGCTATTTCTGTGTTTTGCATGCCTGTAGGGTGAAAAAAGCAGGAAGCTCAGATGCACTGGAGGGACAGAATTAAAATGCTTTGGATATCTTGCCCAGGCTGGAGTTTTGTGGATCTGCCTGGGCCTCCCGCCATGGTTCCTCTGGGGACACCCCAGTGGTGGTTGATCCCTGCCAGCAGGCTGAGCCTTGGGACCTTGGAGTGCTCAGGGGGCCCCAGGGGCTCCCTGCTGGGGATCAGCATCCCCCTTGGTGTGGGAGGGGACACTGGTGCACTTGTCGGGCGAATGGGGTATGCTGGGAGGGAACTGGCTTTTGGTACAGCGCTTTTAGACTGGGTTTGTGCAGGGCAGACCACAAAGTTTTGCCCCAGCCATGCATTTGGGTCTGGCTGCCATCCTGGGGCTGCTGCCTGCCCCGTAGTGGGCCAGGAGGACAGAGCCATGCTGGTGTTCCCCGCGAGGCAGCCCCTGACTCTGCTGCACGAGGGATGTTCTCTTTCTAATGTCTCATTTTAAATGTGGCATAGTTGGAGTAGTGCTGTAAAAGCACAGGGGGGAATTAAAGCAAAGTAAATTCCAAACAACATTTGGAAAAAGGGTGAGGCAAGAAATGCATGCCCCGAGCCCTGCCAAGAGTTCTCCAGCCGTGAATTGGGGAAAGGTTGCTTTAGACTTGGCACTCAACTTGTCATCTGGTTTTCAGCCCTTATGGGAATGGTGTTTCCCATATCTCTGGACTAGAGTTAGTTTACTCTGTCTTTTTATCAGAGAGGAGCAGAGGGCTCACCGTGAGCGAGGAGAGCCGGAGTGCTACAGTTGAGTAGTGCAAGAACACTTTGGAGGTGATGTTCGCATGCCTGAGCGAGGTTTGATACTGGAAAGCTTAAAAATGCAGCTGTGTGCCAAGGGGATTACTCTAAAAACCAGGAGATCTCCCTTTCCTTGTTGCAGACCTGGCAGACGGAGTCCTATATGCAAACTGCAGAACGAGCTAGGTTGACAGCAGGGGCCACCTGAGGCAAGCCAGAAAGCTGGCGATGATACTTGGCAGCTCCAGAAATATGGGTTCCAGAGGCTATCTCTAGAGAAGAGCACAATAAATTGCCTGGCTTTTTTCCAGGAGCAAAGGAAGGAACAAGGAGTGAATTAATGTGAACAGTAATCTCCACCCACCCCCCAGATGAAGCTTTGTTGCCTCAAAATGCAGGGAGCCTGTTTTATGGGCTGGGACCACTGACATCTGCAGTGGTGCTAGCCAAGCCGAGAGCAACCCTGAGGACTGGTGGGGCAAGATGCATGGTTCTTGGCTTTGGGAAAGTGATCTCCACCCTCATGGCTTGTCTAATTGGCCTCTAACGCAAATTCCCTCAAAAGTAGGAAGAGTTAGAGAGAAATTGTTCAGGTGCATCCAGCTCCCTTGGCACCACAAGGCAGTGAAGTGAGCAGATGAGTCTCAGCCTGGGTGGTATATTCCCAGGGCCAGGCTGATAATATTCTGAGCATTGCTGTGTTTGTAAGCACTGATCTGATCCAGGAGTTGTGGCTTTTTAGTCTGAAGCAGCCTAGGCATAGATAACCTGTTTGCTTTGTCCTCTGGCCAACACCAACAGGAAAATCCAGTTCCTTTAAGATCTCGAACAAGGCTGCTGAGACTGAAGGGGAAGGTATGAGGGGTTGGATTGTGGAACCTCCACAGGTCAGTAATGCATGTGTCCCTCTTGGATGAGGAGGAGGTCGACACTGGTGAAGGCTCAGCAGATTTCTTTGTCCCTGCTCTGCAGTGCTCAAGGCTGGGTGTCAGTGCTGGTTCTGTTGGATGAAGGTAGTCTTCAGACCTCCCTGAAAGTAAGCTGGAGGGAACCTGGCAGTCACCGCCGGGTGTTGTTAGTCAAAAAAGGGGCGTAGGCTCCTGAGGAGGTAGTCGGTTGGTCCAGTCTGAGATCCTCTGGGCCTTGTCAGCTTTTTTGGAATTGCAGCCTTGGTGGTTGCTCTGTTGGATGACAGACCGTGTGTGGAAACACGTTTCCTACTTGAGCTGGGAGAAAGCAGAAACTTTCTCCCACTAGTGTGCCATGAATAGTTTTCTTGAGCTTGTAAAACTTTTTTCCTGTTAGTTCTCCTTTATACTGAAAGGAAATGCTCAAATCCAGAAGTCAATAAAGCCTTGCCTTACTGGAACCAGTGGTTCCAACAGTGCGTCCAAACAAGCATCCCAGGCAAATGGTTGGATGTATCAGAATAAAGCACGTACCCAGACTCTGAGCCACAATGAGCCAGGGTATGGGCCTTGTTCCGGTTAGTGTCTGCAAGGGAAGATGGCTGACACAGAGGTATCTACACTGGGTCTGTTTTCAGTGGTGAACGTGGGGTTTTTTTCTGCTGGAGGAGGCTGAACATATTGTTTTGGTGGCTGCTGTGGAGGCTTTAGGAAATAAAAATAGGAAGGAAGTGAAGTGCTGCTTGTTGGATTGCTTATTTCCTAATGTCATAGGATATTTTGTCCTTTGCTAATGCCTTGGTGTGGAGGTACCTGCACCAGCCCTGACATAGCTCTAGATGGGGCATCATACGTCTGTCTGTACCACAGACTTGGGAAACTGGGTGAAGAGGCAAGACTGTCTTCTAATTGCACATAATTAAAAAGTTGGTTCATGGTTTAGGTACATTGTCAGAAAGAACTGGGATGGTTAGCACTGTCAGAACGTGTACTTGTTTTCTGGGAAATAAAGCAAGCCCTTGACTGCAAGGGCTATCTGTTTGGCAGCTTTCTGCTAACATTAAATTTCTTTTAAATTTAGGGCTACTTAAGATGAAGATCCGGGTTGATGGCTCATCACTAAATGCATTCTGCTGATTGCCTCGAGCTTAATAGATGGCATCTTTTCTCCTGTCCAGGCTCCTGTCAAAGATCCTGACAGAATGCGAAGATGCGGATGAAATAGAGTACCTGGTGGATGGCTCCTGGTGTCCCATCAGAGCTGAGAAAGAGCGGAGCTGCAGCCCTCAGTGTCCAATATTAGTTCTAGGTGAGTACCTCTGGGGCTAAAGACTTTAAATGACTGTAGGAAATGTGCACAAAATGCAAAACTAGAGTTCCCCAGCTGCCTTGGGAAAAGCTGTGTGATACCTTAGCACGAGTTTGGCTCTCAGGGAGCTTCCTCTGGATAGCCCCTTCGTTTTCAGCCTCTCCAGAAGCGACCAGCATTGCCAGGGTGCATCTGCGTTGTTGCCAGAATGGCATCAAACAAGATGGTCAGTAGCTACCCCTCTGCAACGACCCCTGAAATGTCATCAGCAAGACCAGCCCAGAACAGCACTGTACTACTTTTGTCGTGGGGTTTTCTTTGACTAGAAGAGCTGTCTCTTGGGCAGCCCACACGAGGCCGGGTCCTCTAGCAGCGGTGCCATCCAGCGACGGTGTTGGCAGTGTAGTTGTGTAGCTTCTTCCTTTGGCCGAGCCAGTTGCTGGTTCTCAGGCCAGTGCTGTTGGGCGCCGTAGCAAGTCCTGACCCCAGAGAGGGCATCGTGTTTGTAGCATCGACTCTTCTTTTTTTAGGCAGTTGCTTGAATGGAGTTTTTCATGGACCCCTTTGCCTTTTAGACTTGACATCAGGAAGTGTTTCTTTACTGAGAGGGTGGTCAAAGACTGGAACGGGCTTCCTCGAGAGGTGGTCGATGCGCCACGCCTGTCAGTGTTCAGGAGGCCGTTGAAAAATGCCCTTAATAACAAGTTTTAACTTTTGGTCAGCCCTGAAGTGGTCAGGATGTTGGACTAGATGATTGTTGTAGCTCCCTTCCAACTGAACTGTTTTAGTCTAAGTACTATGCAGCCGTGAGAGACCGAGGGTATCAGAGCTTCCCCGAAACTGGGCATGAAGCGTCTTAATTAGTCCTCTCTTCCCCTCACCTCTTCCAGGTTCTTCAGATGTGAACGGGCTGTTGCCCACTCCTAACGGTAACGGTGAGAACGGCAAGGCCACTGCTGATGTTGTGGATTTAACACTGGACAGCTCATCATCGGAGGAAGAGGAGGAGGAAGATGAGGAAGAAGATGACGATGATGAGGGACCCCAACCAAAACGACGCTGCTCTTATGAGAAAGGTTTAGTTTCTGCCTGCTGACTGCGGAAGCAGCTCTAAATCTCAGAATGGACAGACTTGAATACTCTGGTGCTTACTAAACTGGAGGAGGGGGAGCGTGTCCTCTCCCACCTCATGCCCCTTCCTCCCTGATCTCCTTTGACTTTCCTATTCCAAATTAATCATTAAAACAAGAGAAAAAGGAAAAAAAAACCAACACCAACAAAACAACAAAAAAACCCAACCACAAACGAAAAACAAACCATTGAGCTGCTTCTTGGTTGGAAAACTACCCCACTCAAAGCCTGACCCTGAACTGGAGCCTGAAGTGAGGAAAGTGTCTTAAGCCAGGCAGTCGGAATCCACAGCTCGCTGGTCTCTGCTGCCCTTCGCCGGGACGATTTGAATCGGGGGAGTTCACCTGCAGATCTACAGGACGTCTAACTCCCATGCATCTCCAAAGCTGTGTGCATTTTTGTCTTGTTAAATAACCATTCCTTAATTAATCTCAAGTTTTTTGCTGGACATGTGAGTCCG